GAAAGACACAGAGTAGCGATCTTAAAGTACCCCCCAGGTACTGAAAGCTGATTCTTGCATGTTAAATTACCTGAGAATATTCAACGTATTTAGTTAAAAAAAAAATTTTAAATAAGGAGATGTGGTATGATTGCCATTAAGAAATGAAGTGGATCTAAGCAATGATAGGCAACCGTACGGCCTTCACCAATAAGAAAAATCCATACCGTATCGCCGACTATAAAAGGGGCCAACTTGAAAAATATGAAACAATTCAATTGAGAAAACTACCGGCCTGATTTAAAACAAAACAATTTACACAAAAAAAATATAACAGATATGAACCAAGGACAACAAGTGAACCACAGGCTCCTGACACTGGACAGGCACATAAAGAATGTGGCCGGGTTAAACATGTTTGTGAGTGCTCAACCCCCTCCCCATAAGCCTGGGACAGTGGTGCAACAGCACGACATAAGAACAACCTGGAAAAACCTTTCTTCAGAGATAATACTTATTTAAAGTAATTATGAATATAAAATGTGTTTTCAGCAGTGTATCACCTTCATTGGTGATCCTATGCATGGATATGTCGTAGATTTTAATTTTTATATATAAATATATACCTCTAAGGCGAGACAAAAATTGAAACTCAAAATTTTTGCTTTACTCAATCAATAGAATCCAAGCCTAATCTGATTAGTAAGAGTTGTCTTAACGGTTACTGTAACAATGAAGTAATTATCTACATAGGCGACAATGGTAGCCTTTTTGGGTGCTGCGTTTTCACTATAAAAGATCCATTGAAAAAAATGTCGAATTCTGAATTATCAACACATTTGGGTGTAAATAAAACTGCAAAACACATATGGTGCCGCAGCTTTTTTGATAGAAAAATGGCATTTTTTAAGGGTACTCAACGGTTCCGGAATTTTCGAAATAGTATAAATGATGAACACCCTTGCTTAATTTGGCACAGAAAATATTGCTCGTCACAGAGAGTTTCCTCCAAATTTCTCGCTATTTCTACACTAATGACCAACACTCATTTCTCACTATTTCAATTTTGATTTATAATTACCAGGGCAGCAGAAAATAAATTTACTTCTACCTATTATCTTGGGTGTGAAATCTAGGTGGCGCCAGTCATCTTTAATTACTTCCTTTTAACCTAACTCAAAAATTGGCATTTTCATCCTATTTTAATCAGAGATACTTGGAGACAGGATATTTTTTAGCCAATTATTATTTACTATTAATTGATACTTTACTATCCAGAGGTCAATGTTTATATATTATTGGCAATATCCATCCACTTTTAAACTTATACAGTTGTGATCAGTTCACAATGTGAAAGAACTTAATAATTCAGGTAAATTTTTGTTTAATATCGAAAAAATTCGTAATATGTAGTTGTATATCTATCATATAAATTTATTGTCATTCTCCGCCATACGTGTATTGTGTATAATTATTGTTATTTATATTACACCTTCCATTTAAAAATTATTGTAAAAATGTATATTCTATAAGCTGTATTGTTTCTGAATAAAGTATTATTATTTATATGCAGATTAGTCATCAATTGCTAATCAAGTACACCTTCCAAATTACAATCTATATAACGAATTGGTGTACACATGTATTTTCATATATCATTATTAATTACAAAATTCTTTTTTTTTTAATGTAAGTTGACTTTCATTTGAAAGAAAAGTGTATGTCAACTATTAAAATTTAAAGAACTACAAAACTTGTATTAATTATTTTTTTTAAATATACACATCCCTTTGTCGTAAGTTTTCCCTGGGGAAAAAAATCAAAGATTGTAAATAAACAAGATTAACTACAGAAGAAGAGAACGTTTGAAATGATGCTTAATAAAGTATGATGCAATCCCAGTTATCAACTTTAACAGAGACAAATTCTGACTAACACTTTGTTCGATATTTCTGAAGTTGCTAGAAAAATCAGTCTAATAATAAATACCCACGGAAATTAAATATTATAAAACATTAAGAGAAGAAAGGAAAAAGGGACAACAATCTGACAAGATCTGACAAAGGCAAATAAAAGCATGTCAAGTATTAAATAATAAAAGGTTCATTTGCAAAGTATATCGAAAATCAAAGTCATGGTCAAAACCATGAAAGACAACTCAAATCAATCGTATGATAGGTAAAGATACGTGTATATACGTGGTCTTATGACAGTGAAATTTTGGCGGGAATCTCAATAATCACGTGATATATAAAAATCATGATTTCTTTCGTTTTTCATCATCTTAGAAATACTTGATATTGATAAAATTTATCATGAATGGGTTTAATAGTTTAGGAATACTTAGTTAAAACTTGAGTGACCCATTTAACAAAACTAATAGGTTAGCAATAACCGGTCCCGTTACGTGCGTACGTCGAGTTAGGTACGTATGTCATTTTATTGGAAATCTCTATTAATACTACTCTTTGGTATTTGTTAAAAAATTATGTGTAGGCACGTGCCTAAAGTGCCTAACGGCAGCTACGCCCCTGAGTTACTCGTTTACTGTAATATAATAATACAGAGAGTCTGTCTGCGGACCCGTATGTATTTACAGAATGTCACGCTCTATCGTACGTAAAGAGGAACCTTTTGTAGATTTCGAGAAAAAAAAAATCGCTACAAAAGGTTAACTTTCCCCTATCCACCAATCCTCCCCGTTTCTCGTAGTATTTAAGTTTATAAGCCCATTTTCAACTTAAAAACCTGGAAAACTGCTCTTAACATACAAATTGACTTCTACATCGACATGAAAAGTATTGCAAATATAGTTTGTGTTGACCATCGCACTTAGCGTTACCACCATCGCACTTCGGCGTAGCTATCAACAAGATAGCGTCACAATGCCACCATCGCACTTCAGCGTGATCAAAAACGCACTTCAGCGTCAACCCATCGTACCTCAGCGTGACCATCGCGGTTCGGAGTACCTTCGCGGTTCAGAGTCCTACATATATATCCCTGTATATTAAAATATAGTAAACCGAAATTTTTTACCCTTCCTCGCACTATCTTATAAACCCCTTTTTCCAGTAGCAATAAATCTCACGCCTTTCATCCGATATTCCCTGTTTGCAGAACCATTCTAATGGGTTTCGTGTTAAATTTTACATGACTATTACATGGACCATTTACCGCTTGAAGTTGAACCAAACAACAATCGATCAATTATTTTATAATTTGAAATCGTTCTTTTTTTTTAAATTTGCTTTTTGTCTGACCATCGATGAAAGTCCACAGTAGTGGGAGCTGAAGTTGGCATTAACAACTACAGATTCTATTATACTTATTTCCCATTTGAAACGTTTGTGATGACTATTTCAGGGGCGGATCAAGGCATTTTTTAAAAGGGGGGTTTCAACCCAGCCGGGATAAAAGGGGGAGGGGTTTCCAACCATATGCCCCCATTCAAAAGCATTGATCGTCAAAAAAGGGGGTTTCCAACCCCCGGACCCCCCCCCCCCCCCCCCCCACCTGGATCCGCCACTGTTTTTGTCACCTGACTTATACCCTCAATTTTAATGCCTCAGCACTGAGTTAATACTATCAATTTGCAGAATGAGGCACGGTCTGTACCCAGATTAAAGGACATGGGTTGATTCAGCAACACATAAAAAAAATATTACTAGTATACAAAAACAAGCCTGTATGTTGTTTTTGCTACTTCTCTAGTCCAAATAATTATGACGTCTTGCAAGGCTATTTTAATTTTTTTCAGGAAGGCGTCACAGAAAAAAATTAAAATAGCCTTGCAAGACGTCATAATTATTTGGACTACTACTTCTCCGATAAGTACGCAACATTTCGGAACTGAGAGACATGTATGGCATATGACCTTGGTCTTATTTGTATGCACAAGTGGTTAATTGTAATGCAGTCACTGTTAAAAAGAGTATATAAACCTTAAACTGGGACCAGAATTATGTCTTAGTCACTGCTCTAAAGCTTTTTAAAACAAAATACATGAAAATAATCGCAAATGACCGAGGGATCGGTGCACTTTTATGGCGCGGAAATGTAGTGGTCGGACGGACTTTATTTCAGTGTGTTACTTTCAAGATTTCCGGTTGCATATTGTTTCTGTTACTGAACAAATTTCCACAGAACTGATCAAGATACAAATAGAGAGCGTTAGGTAGCAATATACAGTTAGAAAACAATATTAAAATTTACTCTCATAAATTTTACCATGCCCCTTTCCTTGATTTCTTGCATATTAAGCTTACTGTTTGTGTCATGTATGTGCATATGTAAGTAATCAGTGTCTTCCATAGATTTGATATTCAGTAGTTAAAATGGTAAAATATAATTTCATTTTGGTGTATCCATGGCAACAATCTGCATTTTTTTGCTATAAAATATTGCAAAAAGGGGGTAAAGATGTCACATATTTCCCAAAAAGTAGAATTTCAATCCCTTGGAGCATGTGGAGTGATACCTTTTCTGAAACTGTTTACATATATCTATCAAGAAATCAAATAAAAATCATATGTCTTCTGTCTCATTTTTTTGTAAAATTGCGTCGATTCTGAAGACCATCTTTTTTGAAGTTTTAATCTGACATGAAAGTTTGTTTTGTACTTGTACATATCATGTAGCTAGGTCATGTAGGTGTTAAATGAATAATTCCATGTTATAATATATTGTGTTTGTAATTGTGACATGTACTCGTAATGTTCTTTTTCATTGAAGGTTTACTATCAAGCACCTTACCCTTTTTAAAACATCACTAGAACACTTCGAAGTTGACTTTTAAAGTAAAGAAGAGATTTTTTTTACCCTTCTCATGTTTATACATTTCAATACTGGAAAAAGAAGCTTCCAACAACTACGTGGAATAAAACATTTGCAAAGAGTTTGTAATGTATACATATGCTGCTTTTTGTGATAAATTTATATAGACTGTCTCACAGCATTGTTTTTGTGTTTATTCCATTTGATTGTGAGCTTGTGAAGAATTTTTGATATATCTGTTTCAGCTCTGTGCACAATGAAGTTGCTGTTGGATGTAGACAAGACAGAGTCAAACCAGATATTAAAGACCAGCACAGTAAGTTATTCTATATTACTATAGTACACACACTTAAGTAAAACATTGTGTGTTATATGTTTTACAGCATACATGTTCTTTCTCAAGATAAAGCTATTTTGATCAGAAAGAACATGAAAAACAATTGCAGGTTATTTAATGGTAAAGATTGCACCTGGAAAGCAAGTATTTCTTCAATACATGTATCAGGATAGCATGTTATGAAATAAGAAATTGTAATAAATAGTAACAAATCTGCAGATCTAATGACATGAATGGAAGCTGAAATAATTTTTGTCCAGTTGAATTGGTCCTTTTGGTAGTGTGAATATTTGCCAAAAATATTGAAACTAAACTTTTTTTTGGAACCCATGTCAACATTTTTGTAATATTTTGTAACCCGTTTGGCATTTTTATCAGGTAAAACATTTGTCTAGAAACCCTATAGGAGTAATACTACCATTGTTTTTCCCCTATTTGTCTTTGTTAAAATGACATTTAAAAAAAATGTGCACAATTTATCTTTATTTCAAATAAAGAAATACTTGGGCATGAGTAAAGTTTTATCCTGTCCAGTACTACAGTGAACATTTCACATAACATTTCATTGCATATAACAGTATCAGATAATCACCATCAACAGAAATAAACCAATCAAATTTTGACCCTTTTTTTCCTTTTTACAAGCTTTAGTAATCATGTCACCTCAAGTTTCCAGAATATTTTATGGAAACACCAAATAAAAAAAAAAAAGAATGGTGCTTCGAAATACCCAAGATATATGTTTATGATTCAGAATTTTTTTTCTGCAATGAAATGCAGGGTTAACTTCCTGCAACTGTCAAATTCAAGGGAACATTTTTTGTCCACCCTTTTTCATATGAAACCAGATATGACTTACTTTGATTTAGGGGTATTACACCTAAAGAAGACTTTTTTGTTGAATAAACTGAATGTGATTATTTTTCTGGGAAATGCTGGTTATTTCAAGCATTACTGTCAAGTTTTGTCATAATCAGTTCAATAGGTTGAGAGAAATCTAGTATAATGTAAGATGACATCTACAGCGATTTGAGCAAAATTTCTTAAAAAAATCCAACTCATGCCGCATCATGATAGAATATAGTGTGGACCAATAAATTCACCAATAAATGATCAAATATTCATCTCATCTGCATAAAACAGTTGAATATGATACAAAACATGACTCCAAGATTATAAACACCACTAATGTACCTCTTTCTCTTCAGTATAAGGTCCCTTTTGGTCCATTTATACCTCTCATTCCCTCTAAATTTTAACTTGAAGGCTACTTAAAGTTTTGGGGTAACTATCACACATTTATGTAAGAAGGAAATGTGATATTAATTTAGTAATTGAAGTGTTCAAGTTGAATGAACTATCCATATAAAAGTTTACTGACTCCATGGAGGTTTCAAGAAGTCCTTACGTAAAACTATGTTTATGCCGGGTTCCAGAGAGGGACATATAATATGGTTCCCTTTTAGTAAATTATTTGTTGTTACGGCTTCAAAAACATTTCATTTACTTATTACTTTATATTTCTGAAAGAATTGCTTAGGAAAAAGCTTTATGTTATAGCCCAGTATAGGGAATAAAGAGAAAAAGTCAGAAAAAGCTCCTCAAAACACTTGATTGTGGCTTGCTCTGCCTACTAATATTCATGGTATAGTCCTATTTCAAGGTAATTTTCCCTCAAATATGTTTTTGAGACTCAATCCACTCAGAATATTTCATGTTTGCAATATTTCAGTGAAATAGCATGAAATAATAAAAAATAAGAGTACACACAAGGTCAAAGGTGCATGTGCAGCTTCCCTATTAGGAGTAATACCACTATTGTTACAAATAAAGAAATACTTGGCTTGAGTAAAGTTTTATCCTGTCCAGTTGCATGGAATGTGTTGGTCAATAGATTTTTCAGATAGCAATATGAATATAAGGAGATGTGGAATGATTGCCAATGAAACAACTATCCACCAAAGTTCAAATGAAGTGGATGTAATCAATTATAGGCAACCTCACAGCCTTCAACAATGAGAAAAACGTAAACTGTATAGTCAGCTATAAAAGGCCTGGACATGAAAAATATGAAACAATTCAATTGAGAAAAATAACTGCCTAATTTATAGCAAAATAATTTATGAAAAACAAAATATGGCAGACAATAACCAATGACAACCACTTTCAGAACTACAGAATGCTGACTTTTTCTCAGCCTAAAGGTTAGGACCCCCCTCCTTCAAACATGTGGATCAGTGCTGTCTTTCATGCTCAGCCTAAAGGTTAGGACCCCCTCCTTCAAACATTTGGATCAGTGCTGTCTTCCATGATGTGCCTTAAGGTTAGGACCTCCCTCCTTCAAACATTTGGATCAGTGCTGTCTTCCGTGATGTGCCTAAAGGTTAGGACCTCCCTCCTTCAAACATTTGGATCAGTGCTGTCTTCCATGATGTGCCTAAAGGTTAGGACCTCCCTCCTTCAAACATTTGGATCAGTGCTGTCTTCCATGATGTGCCTAAAGGTTAGGACCTCCCTCCTTCAAACATTTGGATCAGTGCTGTCTTCCATGATGTGCCTAAAGGTTAGGACCTCCCTCCTTCAAACATTTGGATCAGTGCTGTCTTCCATGATGTGCCTAAAGGTTAGGACCCCCCTCCTTCAAATATTTGGATCAGTGCTGTCTTCCATGATGTGCCTAAAGGTTAGGACCTCCCTCCTTCAAACATTTGGATCAGTGCTGTCTTCCATGATGTGCCTAAAGGTTAGGACCTCCCTCCTTCAAACATTTGGATCAGTGCTGTCTTCCATGATGTGCCTAAAGGTTAGGACCTCCCTCCTTCAAACATTTGGATCAGTGCTGTCTTCCATGATGTGCCTAAAGGTTAGGACCCCCCTCCTTCAAACATTTGGATCAGTGCTGTCTTCCATGATGTGCCTAAAGGTTAGGACCTCCCTCCTTCAAACATTTGGATCAGTGCTGTCTTCCATGATGTGCCTAAAGGTTAGGACCTCCCTCCTTCAAACATTTGGATCAGTGCTGTCTTCCATGATGTGCCTAAAGGTTAGGACCTCCCTCCTTCAAACATTTGGATCAGTGCTGTCTTCCATGATGTGCCTAAAGGTTAGGACCTCCCTCCTTCAAATATTTGGTCAGTGCTGTCTTCCATGATGTGCCTAAAGGTTAGGACCTCCCTCCTTCAAACATTTGGATCAGTGCTGTCTTCCATGATGTGCCTAAAGGTTAGGACCTCCCTCCTTCAAACATTTGGATCAGTGCTGTCTTCCATGATGTGCCTAAAGGTTAGGACCCCCCTCCTTCAAACCTTTGGATCAGTGCTGTCTTCCATGATGTGCCTAAAGGTTAGGACCTCCCTCCTTCAAACCTTTGGATCAGTGCTGTCTTCCATGATGTGCCTAAAGGTTAGGACCCCCCTCCTTCAAATATTTGGATCAGTGCTGTCTTCCATGATGTGCCTAAAGGTTAGGACCTCCCTCCTTCAAACATTTGGATCAGTGCTGTCTTCCATGATGTGCCTAAAGGTTAGGACCTCCCTCCTTCAAACATTTGGATCAGTGCTGTCTTCCATGATGTGCCTAAAGGTTAGGACCTCCCTCCTTCAAACATTTGGATCAGTGCTGTCTTCCATGATGTGCCTAAAGGTTAGGACCCCCCTCCTTCAAACATTTGGATCAGTGCTGTCTTCCATGATGTGCCTAAAGGTTAGGACCTCCCTCCTTCAAACATTTGGATCAGTGCTGTCTTCCATGATGTGCCTAAAGGTTAGGACCTCCCTCCTTCAAACATTTGGATCAGTGCTGTCTTCCATGATGTGCCTAAAGGTTAGGACCTCCCTCCTTCAAACATTTGGATCAGTGCTGTCTTCCATGATGTGCCTAAAGGTTAGGACCTCCCTCCTTCAAACATTTGGATCAGTGCTGTCTTCCATGATGTGCCTAAAGGTTAGGACCTCCCTCCTTCAAATATTTGGATCAGTGCTGTCTTCCATGATGTGCCTAAAGGTTAGGACCTCCCTCCTTCAAACATTTGGATCAGTGCTGTCTTCCATGATGTGCCTAAAGGTTAGGACCTCCCTCCTTCAAACATTTGGATCAGTGCTGTCTTCCATGATGTGCCTAAAGGTTAGGACCCCCCTCCTTCAAACCTTTGGATCAGTGCTGTCTTCCATGATGTGCCTAAAGGTTAGGACCTCCCTCCTTCAAACATTTGGATCAGTGCTGTCTTCCATGATGTGCCTAAAGGTTAGGACCTCCCTCCTTCAAACATTTGGATCAGTGCTGTCTTCCATGATGTGCCTAAAGGTTAGGACCTCCCTCCTTCAAACCTTTGGATCAGTGCTGTCTTCCATGATGTGCCTAAAGGTTAGGACCTCCCTCCTTCAAACCTTTGGATCAGTGCTGTCTTCCATGATGTGCCTAAAGGTTAGGACCTCCCTCCTTCAAACCTTTGGATCAGTGCTGTCTTCCATGATGTGCCATTTCAATTCTTGTTCAGCATTATTTGTTTTCCATTATCATATTGCATTGTTGATTCTTGTTGAATAATTGTATTGTTATATTCTTTTCAATAACTGATCTGTTGTTGATAAATAGAAAAGTTTCCATTATGGTTTGTTAACATGATTAACCAAAAAGATTTTAAATTTCCGTACTTGAAAAAACATTGACTTAATATTTTAATAGTAGCGGTTTAAAAGGGCATTTACTCTACACTGGAATAAAAACAGGTCATTGTTTACAATGGCAACCAGAAAATGAAGGACAAATATCATTGGTAAACACACATAAACAGGTGAAATTCAAAGTATACCATCAAATTGAAAATGTTTATTTGTAGGACTTTATAGGGCTTGAAGGAAAATTAAAGAAAAGGAATAGTGGTTCCTTGATTAGTATTCTGTTGTGTCCTTTTTTTTTCATTTTTTTTTTCATTAAATAAATTTAGAAGAGTATCCTTTGCAACCTTTGTATTGTATTTTTGTACAATTTAAAGAATAGAAAAAATCAATTAAGCAGGAATATAAAATGTTGCCAGGAAAACTATGAAAATCAATGTCCCATAAATATTAGTCAAAATGTGTAATTTTAAGGTTTGTATTAAGCATTTTTGCATTGGTATTGACCAGTTTTAAAAGAAAAGTTTTAACAGGAACTGAAAAATAAATATGCATGATTAAAGTCAAATTCTGGGTAAAAATGTATTGCATATTGACAAAAATGCATCTATGTCAGAGTCCCCTTGCATGTGCAGGTCCCCTATCATGGTTCATTGACTTTGAAATCTTTAAATTGTTTACAAGGTAAAGTTTGTGTTTAGGTTAGTGTTAAGATACTTATGATAAGTCAATGGTATTTGGTATTCAGTTTTATAAGCATTGACATTTCTAATTTCCATGGAGGTTATTTGAGTCATGGTTCATTGACTTTGAATGTTTTGCATAGTTTACATGTTTAAATATTGCCATTTGGATTCAATATTTGCATTATATTATCAAAATTCTAAAAAGGTGACACATATCTCTGTGTCAACAGTTTATTTAGCTTCATTGAATTACTTTTATTCTGAAAATAAAGGAGATGTTAGGATAACATCCATGAGACAGGAACCCAACAACACTAATAGACAAAAGACATCTTGAAGCAAACATACTGCCTTCAACAATAGACAGGGTTATATTCAATGTCAAGCTATTTAATCACCCATGGGCCAAAATAAAAGTGTTGTTTGTTTCCCCTCGCCCGACCAACTCAGAGAAAGTCCCGCCGACCCAAAAGTTTTTATTCTGTTTTTTTTTGAGACATTTTTTTTATTTGTATTATACTTGTAGTATTAGGCTTTGTATGTGGTCATGGAAATTTACAATATACATTGAATACTGCTGGAGAAAAAAAAAACTTTTGACCTACCTACCTACCTTCCTGTGAAATCCAGGGTTGGGAGAGGGGAAACAGACATATATTTAAATCACCCTCAGTTTTAATATTAGTCAATACATTAAACAGAGACTATCGGCCATAAACACCAAATTCGTTAAATAACAATATATTAGATATGTCATAAAACAACCACAGACAAGGTTCCTTACATTTAAAATTTGACTTGATGGAATGTATTAAGTTTTACATGGGTAAATGGTGTGTGAATTCATCTTGGGGAGTACACTTGTTGATAACTCTGACCAAAACATTTATACCGCATTGACTTAATTTATGCTTTACATTTTAGTTTGGCACTGATAAATGCTTAACTTGCAATCCGACCGGTTCCATTTAAGCTTTGAGTTCATCTTCTTGTAAGATACTGTAATAAATCAGGATATTTTGGCAGTTTTTACAAGAAAGTAGAAGTAAATTTTGGTGTGTCAAATTTTGGCGCTGTGTGTCAATATAGTGTTATGGTTTAGCATATTCTGAATTAATTCATTGTTCAATTAGCTGTCTATTACAAGCTATTTAGTTATGATAATGATAATGATAATTAATAATAATAACACATATTTGTTATGACAAACAGTCTTATGATTAGAAAAAAGAAAAGAATTAATAAATTATATTAAATCAGATCATATTTGGTTGCAATAATTAAATGAGAGTAGATTATTTGAAGTTTACCTTTTATTAATTGAAGTGTTGCTATAGTGATATTGATCTGAGAATCAAGGAGGAGTCATTAACTAGAGCTATTTCTGACTTTGATAATGTGATCTATTATTTAATTAATGCAATTATTATATTTTCTCATCAAATTAAATGTTATAAAATATTACACATTTGTTGATAGGTTATGAGGGGAATAGCATCTTTATTGTCCCTGAGATGCCAACTATTGCTTGTGGCCAAGCCGAAGCGACAACAAACTTGTTATATCCCTCATAACCAGTCATTAAGTGTTGTATTACATTGAACAAGACAACTTTACAAGAAATCTACATACACCATTTAGCAAATGATAATAGAAAACGTTTTATTTATCTTTATGGAATGTTTTAGTTTGGTGGATTTAATTTTGGCAATTTCATCTTAGGCACCAAATAAACCAAAATAGGACTACAGTTTAAATATCCCAATATACATGATATATGGTACATCAAATAAACCAAAATAGGACTACAGTTTGAATATCCCAATATATGGTACATCAAATATTGGTTGCCAAATAGTTTTCATGGAATGCTTAGTTTGTCTAAGCAAACATACATATGACTATCTTAATGAGTGTGGATAAATTTCCTTCCTAAATTTTTTTTTCTTCTATTTCAGTTATATCATTCACACTACGTGTAGCAAATCGATACAAATTAAATAAGAAGTTCAATAAACAGCAGACAAAGTTGGAAGCAGAACCGGAAAATATTTTATTACGTACCCAAGTGGCACATGCTAAGGTAAAGTCAGCTTATTTAGAACCACAATTTTTGGTATCCAAGAAGTAATGTTGGAACCAAAATGAATGTACTTATTTCATGACAAAATATGTTTGGATTTTGAAATTTTTATTCAGGCATTTTTTTTATCAGAAGTCATATTTAAAATATACCCAGTATTGTAAAAAAATCTGTACATAGTCTTTTGACCAAGCAATATAATAGACTATTTTGACCAAGCAATATAATAGACTATTTTGACCAAGCAATATAATAGACTATTTTGACCAAGCAATATAATAGACTATTTTCATATTACCGACTTTTGACTCAGGAGTTTTAAATTTTTGACAGGTAACCTACACTGTGGTAGGACATTCTGGTACTTGGTCAAGGAAGAGCAACTAAAAGAATTGAAATCAAGCTTACAATTGGTGCAATTGTGGATTAAAATTACTGTTTTATGTTTTCTATGCACAACAAAATCATCGGAAAACAGTTAATTTTTTCCCCAAATTGTACCAATTGTAAGCTGTATTTTACTTCTTTTAGTAGCTCTTACTTGACTGAGTACCAGAATGTCCTACCAATGAGAATGGGTTGATAAATCCATTGACAGGTGTTAAATGAAAGCTTTGGCAGCTCAGTTGCACATTTAAAATGCCTAACAACAATTTTTCCAATAGGTCTATAGGTGGTCTGTTTGAAGAAAAGATGTCTTCTTTAGTTGTTGGACTGTCCATGCATATATTCTACTCTATTTACATTTATTGAAGCTTAAAAAGTCAGTCATACAATTGTTAGGTTGGCTACCATTTATAACTTTTTAATCAAACTCTTTCCCATAGAAATTCCAAGAAAGAAGCCTTACTATTTTCCAATCAGTTGATTTCTCTGTTGTTTTTTGTTTGACTAACAGTTTTTGTTCCACCTTTGAGAGTTCCTGATATCCATATGTCATTTCTAATTCATCCAACAATTATACAAGATGGTCAGATGTTATTTTAAATACTTTATATGTGATAAACAAAGCTAATAATGTTTAAATATCAAATCTTAAATACTTGAAAAGTAGCATAAAGAGGAAATTTCTATTTCTTAGGTTTTAGAAATTTTCTAGTTGAATTTTGATGACATTGTGTAATAAGTTTTAAACTTTTCAAACAATCAACATTTATTAGTGGGGATCTTTGATATCCAGTTGAATGCATTGTTAAATTATTAAAATAATAAAATATTTTATATTCTTTGCCTTTCCTTGCATTTATTTTTTTGATCAAACATGTTAGCTAAGCCTCCTGAGTTTAAACTTATTTACAAACCTAAATTAGTATGATAATTAATGTCATGATTGTATCACTACTATTTATGATGGGATCTAGCCTTGTTTACTATAGTTATAGTCCACCTATTGGCTTTGTTTTCTATATTTTATGGTATCCTTTACCAGTATAACAGCATAACCAAAAAGAGTATGAATAAATGTTCGATCCCCTCAAAATACCCAGATTGCAAACTAGGGAACCTTATACAAATATTTATATGTTTTCTTTTCAGTAAAAACCATTCAGTCATCTCTATATATAACAAGGTTGTTTAAATGGTTTTTACAAAGTTTACTATATTAAATTCAAATCCATAATAATTATGAGGTCTTCTTTAGTAGATCAAATTTACTTTTAACATTGATGAAGGGGTAATAATCATTATAACATGATTAAAGCATGTATGATGAATCAAAGGGATCATATAAATTTTTTGTCTATGATTATGTAATAATTTTCTCTCAAGTTGAATTCACACAACAATCGAACAATATTGCTTTCATATTAATGGGTTTTTTATGATATTCTCTTTATACTTTTATTCCTTGTAAATTCCATGTAAATTTCTTATACTGGTTTATTTAATGTTTTAAAGTTCACCTTGATAAAGAAATATCAGTTTTTAATATATTGTATGCTTCGATAACAAATCTTTTTTTTTGCTTGTGACCAACTGCACAATGATTACATGAAGCTTCATTGTTTTTTCTCATTTGACTTCTAATATGAAATTGGTGTAATAAACATGATGAACAACATTTTATCAAAAGAGATTTAGTCAAATTTTGAAAAAGAATGATGTATACAGTTCTTGTTAATATATTTCCTATATATGAGCCTGTTCATGTTCATCTTCTCAGAAAACACTGTATGTAATTAAATTTTTTTTAATAATATGGAAATTTTTGTTTTTTTCATTTAAAATCTATAATTCTGACAAATGACTTCATAACTAATAAGACATAGACAATCACAAGATATTAGTTAATCACAGGGCTTGATCAAGATATTAGTTCCCAGCAAAGAAATGGACAGTGAAGTCTGATGCACTGTATTATAATTTTGAAACAACAACTTTAACTTAGAATATCTCATGAACAAACAAACACTTAGTAATTAGAAAATAATGAGGAGCATACAGCTCAAACTTAGAGACACATTTTTATCATCCACTCAGAAATTTGGAAAGAAGGATATTGGTTAGTTGTACATGAGACCCAAGGATACCAGTAAATAACTAATATTTCAAAGAAACAGTGCTCATATTTAAGCTTATCAATTTTTAAATAAGATAATAAAATAATTGAAAATTTTTGTGCTGAAATTTAATAAATGAAGATAGGTCAGTGTCAGACATACTTAAATTGTTAGATTAAACTTCATCAGAAACATCCACAGTCAAATTTTTGAAAAAAGATGTATAGATGTATAGATATATGAGAGAGCAATAAATTCAAACTAAGTCATCAAACAGAAACCAAAATTGTCCCAAGTAAACTTTGCCCGAGAAACAAGAACACCTTTTATTGTAAAGAAAGTGATAGACTATTTTCATGTTACTGACTTTTGACTTCGGTATTTATATTTTATCGACAGGTTACCTACCCTGTGGTAGGACATAAGGGTTCTCACTAAGGCAAGTCCATGAGTCCTGGACTCATGAAAATCTGTCTGGACTCATTATTTTCAAAACTGGAGAGTCCAAAGATGCATCAAGATTGAAACATTTGGATAAACTGAACACACATATCATCATTTTTGTCGAGCCTTCGACTTTAGTCGAAAAAGCGAGACATAGCGATCCTACATTCCGTCGGCGGCGGCGGTGTCAACAAATATTCACTCTGTGGTTAAAGTTTTTGAAATTTTAATAACTTTCTTAAACTATCCTGGATTTCAACCAAACTTGGACAGAAGCTTGTTTATGATCATAAGATAGTATCCAGAAGTAAATTTTGTAAAAATAAAATTCCATTTTTTCCGTATTTTACTTATAAATGGACTTAGTTTTTCTGCCGGGAAATATTACATTCACTCTGTGGTTAAAGTTTTTAGAATTTTAATAACTTTCTTAAACTATCCTGGGTTTGTACCAAACTTGGACAGAAGCTTGTTTATGATCATAAGATAGTGTCCAGAAGTAAATTTTGTAAAAAAATAAATCCATTTTTTCCTTATTTTACTTTTAAATGGACTTAGATTTTCTGCCAGGAAACAACACATTCACTCTGTGGTTAAAGTTTTTAAAATTTTAATAACTTTCTTATACTATTTTGGATTTGTACCAAACTTGGACAGAAGCTTGTTTATGATCAAATGCTAGTACATGTATCTAGAAGGAAATTTTGTTTTCTTCCAGTTAACATTACATTCAGTCTGCAGTTAAAGTTTTTAAACATTTATTAGATTCATAAACTATCCTGGATTTTTACCAAACTTGGACAGAAGCTTCTTTTAATCAAAAGATAGTATCAAGAGGAATATTTTTATTGATATACTTCCCTCATTTTTGTTGAGCCTGTGATTAACAGAAAAAGTAGGCAAGACACTGGGTTCCGCGGAACCCTTACGAATTTTATAGCAAACCTATAAATAGTAATCTTAATTTAATGTCATTTCATTGCTCTATTAGGTCATAAAGACTAAAATGATAAATTATATTGCAATAAAATATCTTTTTCTTACTGTTGGACTCACCAGTGCCAAAAATGATGAGTCCCTGGACTCGCCTTCAAAAATCCTTAGTGAGAACCCTGGGACATCCTGGTACTCGGTCAAGTAAGAGCAATGTAAAGAAATAAAATCAAGCTTTCAATCTGTACAATTTTGGGGGAAAATAAACTGTTTTATGTTTTCTATACACGTCAAAACCATCGGAAAATAGTAAACATTCCACCCAAATTGCACCGATTATATATTTGATATTACTTCTTTTGGTTGCTCTTAGCTGACCGAGTACCAGGATGTCCTACCACAAAGAAGGTAACCTGTAGAAAAATTATATTATCCGGAGTCAAGACTCGGTAATATGAAAATAGTCTATTAACTATTGACAAACAATTTGTAAAAAGTGTTTAAAAAATCATTTGGAGTACTAAAGCACTAACTGATATAATACGTCCTGATTTTTCACTTTGAAAGTATTACTTATAGAATTATTACTTAAGAGGATTATTTATAAATGACTTCTGTCCAGGAATTTTTTCAGTGGTTTTCTTATGGTTACAGTTGTTTGCTTAGTGTCCAGTGGCAACTATTTCATTGTTCTTCTTATGCAATAAGTTACTACTGTTTTTTGTTTCCTTTTGAGAATTTGGTGTTGATGGCTAAACTTTGATAGCTTCTTTTTATGGTATAGACACCTATCTATTGTTGAAGACTGCTACTGTTGAGGAATTAGTTTGACGGTGTGGAAAGTACAAATAATGAAGCAATTCCAGTCTGGTTCAAAACATTATACCAATACTTATGTAAGCAGAGCAACTATTTTGCTTGGTAAATTACAAGAGCACAGTAATACTTAGGTGATATGTTTTGAGGCCAAATTTCTTATCCTTCCAAATTTCAAAAAGTATTTCACTCTATTCTTTCCTTTTCCTTGTTTGGACACTACCAACTGCTCTATTGTTCTCTTCAATTTTCATGATATATTCAATACTGATATAAGGAAATTAATAATTGATTAATAAACTATTT